ACAAATGACCTTAACAAGCCCATTTAAAACCGATCATCCTCAAAACTGGGCCCACTTACCGCCTATGCCAGCCCCGACGCACCAAACGCTCTCATTTCTTGGGAGCATAGTATCTGTAGTGATTCAGAGATGATCCTACATGCTCAAGGACCAACACATCCACATAAAGATTGTGTAGGATGGAGGGCAGAATTATCAATGTGTTGGGAATCAGCCATAGCGGCAGAGTCCATAATACAATAATGCTACTAGATCAGATCGAGAGTCGCATTAAATTTGATGATTGTTGAAAAAAGGATTTAGCCACAATCTAGTATTTTAATCTATTTAATTACCTTACTCGACTCTAAGATATATAACGAGCCACATACAGGCTCATCAATCTGACGTGTCGAAACATAGATGTAGATATATATCCACTTTAAAGACGGAGTATATATTTGACATGAACAATATTGAACGTGTGTATGCTCATATAAAATTCAATATACTTGATTAATTAGAATTTTGAGCATGGTGAAATATAATTAAAAACTAAATTAAAAGAGCATCGGTTCTTTGACAACGAAATTCAGCTAGATTTTTTACTTCATGGCGCTACTATTTAAAGTACTCCCTCCGTCTCATAATGTAAGACGTTTTTTGACACTACACTAGAGTGAAAAAATGTCAGACATTATGGGACGGAGGGAGTACATTGTAAAAGGAAAAGGAATAGATATATGAAGTGGTCTATCCAAGCACAAAGGTGGATGAGGAGTGGCTCCGTCTTGATGGAATGGCGATTAAATTGATGGTAGAGATCCATCGACCTCGGTACAAGTCCAAAATTCTTCTTAAGGTGGGAGCGATTGCCATCATATGTTCACTTGACTATTTAGAAATGATAAATTGTTTCATGATTAAAATCACATATGTTGATCATCATGTACTATACCAACATCTAGAGTCTTAACTCAAAACATTTAAAATTAGTTAATAATTTGTTTGTTTGCCACCATATCTCCTTATAAATGATTGCTTATTAATAATTAGTTTGCATGGTATCAAAATATTAATTTAAACACCATTCAGATTCTGAGTAGTAAGAGCACCTCCACCGTAAAGTAGAAGAAGAAGAAGAAGAAGCGTACGACAACAGTAAAGTAGCACATTTTTATGAACTAAATATGAAATGGTTTGCAAGCTTGGCAAGAAGCAAACGCAGCAGCAGACATAAATCGTATGTGACAACATCAATTTAGCACACACATATGTATGGCCAATCGTATGCGCCGTTTCCAGTGTTGCACATGGGTCTTAAACCCAGTGTGTGTTCACGGCCCATCCTCACCAATCACTAGAGACGGTTAAGCAAATCATGCGCAACGTCTATCCAGTCTCCACTGTGGAGGCCTTTATCGCAAAGAAAAGGCAGGACAACTGAAATAATAATTGATTTCACTTATCCAGTCTCCACTGTGGCAGCACATAAGTGTGTTGGAGCTCCACACTGGCAGCAAGTGGAGACATTTCATTTGCCCCCTTTCAAATAAAGGTCGATCGGGTAGAGCTCGGCACAGGGTCTGCCCATATCAATTATACGCGTATAGCCACGGGGTAATTTCCGGGTATAACCAATGACCAAAGCATGAAAGCATTAAAAAAATGGGAATCCTTATGGAACAAAGGATGAAAATCTCGGGTTGCTCAAAATGAAAGTCACAGCAGTTTGGGTGTGTGAAAGAACCCAAATAATAATACAATGGAGTGCTCAAAAGTGTGCTTATTTTGATAGAAAACCATGCGGTATGATTCAATAGTAGACGAACCACCCCAAACCATGTATGCATTCATTCATGGGTAGACTTCAATGATGGACCGATGTCCCACTGGACTGATCTTATAGTCCCCAAATCCTGCTTCAACGAACATCTTCTTCCACTGCTGCTCGTCTCGTTCGACCCCATCGATGCCCATCATCATGATATCAAATAGAACTTGTGTCTCCTTAAGAATAACATTCTGTGACGCCCCAGAATCTACCACGCCATCGAAGATTATCACCTTCCCTCCAGCTGGTATAGCTTCCTTGCACCGGCGTAGTACCTTGACGGCATCTTCGTCTCGCCATATGCATAGAATCCACTGAGAAGGAATGAACAACAACACATATAGTAGGTACATACGTACGTATATGTAATTCAATTGAATGAAGAAATAGCATAGTATATGTCCTACTGTTGTGTACCTTGAGAAGGATAGCGTCGGCTGGTGGTATGTACTCAAACACATCGCCAGCAACAAACTGGACGTCGCGGCTGGTAGGTGCGCCAGCAATCACGTGTGGGAGGTCTAGCAC